ATATATATATATATATATATATATTATATGCATTATATACAAATACAGATATATAAATATATATATATATAAATTTATATATATATATATATATATATATATATTTGTATACGGACCCGCATACGACTTGTTTGAAGGCCCTGACGAGTTTGAAGGCGATGCATTTTTCAAACTCTGTCAAAATAACGGGGTAGCGGATTTCTTTGCCTGCAGCAGACGGAGACACCCCAAACAAACCCTCATTTAAAGCAGCAAACAACAAATTAGGGTTTAGGGTTTAGGGTTTAGGCGTCGGAGAATAGGGTTTAGGGGATCCGGTTTGGAGGCTAGGGTCTAGGCATTAGGGTTTGGGAGGAGCGGTGAGGGTTTGGGGTTTAGGGTTTGGGGTTTAGGGTTTAGGGTTTGGGGAGGGATGAGTAGAGAGAAAGACGATGCCGTCAAGATAGGTGTAAATGGAAGCAAGGAGACAGCAGGAGCAGCAGCAGCAGCAGCAGCAGCAGCAGCAGCAGCAGCAGCAACAGCAGCAACAGCAGCAACAGCAACAGCAGCAACAGCAGCTTTAGCGAATACCATCAGCAGAGCGACAGACGACTCCATCTACACTGGGGCTCTTCCGCGCTTCAGCATGAGCAAAGAGAGGCCCCACAGTATACACCTGGCAGCAGCAGCAGCAGCAGCAGCAGCAGAAGCAGCAGCAGCGGGGGGATCTATAAGGAGACAGATAGAAGGGTTTATAATAGAGAGAGGGAGATTAGAGAGCATGAAGAGACGAAAGAAATGCAAAAAAGAAAAGGAGACAGAGAGACACTCAACAAGGAGCAGAGACAGAGACACCCCAAAGGAGACACTGAAAAGAAGAGACAGGCAGCAACACACAAAGACAGACATACAAATAGAGACAGAGACAGACACAGACATAAAGACACGAGATAGTGAAGAGACAGACACTCAAACAGAGACAGAGACAGACATAGAGACAAGAGATAGTAAAGAGACAGACATACAAATAGAGACAGAGACAGGAGCAGAGACAGAGACAGAAAAAGAGACAGACACAGACATTCGCGCAGCAACAGAGACAGAAGCAGAGACAGAGACAGAGAGACAGAGAGACAGAGACAGTGACACAGAGACAGATACAGCTACAGCTACAGAGACAGGGAGACAGAGACAGATACAGAGTGACTGAGAAAGAGACAGAGAGACAGAGAGAGAGAGAGAGACAGAGACAGCTAAAGAGACAGAGAGACTGAGAAAGAGACAGAGAGACGGAGACAGAGACAGAGGGACAGAGAGACAAAAGCAAAAGGAGAGGGCTGTCTCTTACCTTGACGTCGGTGCCAAATGTGGGTAGGAACTCTTCATACAGATAAACCCCGTCCTTCCGCACTTGATGAATGTCTGGGAAGTAGCTGCTGCTGCTGTTCTGCTGCTTACGATACAGCTTCTTGCAGCCACCCCCTAATCAGCAGCAGCAGCAACAGCAGCAGCAAGAACAACAGCGGTATCAGTCAAAATGACCGCGGCGCAGCAGCAGCAGAAACAACAGCAAAGTAGCAGCAAAACAAACACCACATATCACATAGTTCAGGTGCTAGCAGCACCTCAGCATGCAGCAGCAGCAACAGAAATAGCAGCAGCAGCAGCAAAAGCACAACCGGCAGCACCACCAGCTGCAGCAGCAGCAGCACCACCACCACCAGCGCCAGCAGCAGCAGCACCAGCTGCAGCAGCATCAGCATCAGCAGCAGCAGCACCAGCTGCAGCAGCATCAGCAGCAGCTGCAGCAGCATCAGCATCAGCAGCAGCACCTGCATTTTTAGGATAGTAGATCCAGTTATCGTGGTTGTCTGCTTCTTGCGGTTTTTCAATGAAGGGTTTGTTAATGCGTTGACCGTTAATACTTAAGTAGTCGTAGCCTTCAAAGAAAACTGCGTCTCCTCTTCTTACAGCAGCATAATCAACAACTACGTATGAAGGATGAGGAATGCTGTGTTGCTGCGCATGCATGCAACAACCCCACCAATAAACACACTCACAAATACTATACAATATTATATACTATATATATATAAACAGCAATCAATATATATACATATATATAAATGAGAGAGAGAGAGAGGGAGAGAAACAGATATGTACATGTCTATATACAATGCGACAGCAGCAGCAATAACAGCCGCGGGAGCAGCAACAACAGCAGCACCAGCAACCCCAGTGATAATAAAAGCAGCCGCAACAGCAGCAGCAGCAGGAGTAGCAGCGACAACAGCAGCCGGAGTAGCAGCAGCGACAGCAGCAGAACTAGCCGGAGTAACAGCAGCAGCAGTAGTCGTAGCAGCAGCAGCAGAGCTAGCCGCAGTAACAGCAGCAGCAGTAGTCGTAGCAGCAGCAGCAGCAACAGCAGCAGGAGTAGCAGCAGCAACAGCAGCAGCAGCAACAGCAGCAGCAGTAGCAGCAGCAACAGCAGCAGCAGCACCTGTAGGACTTGATAGATGCTGATTCTGTTTCTAATAATTTGCTGTTTGCGTAGGTCGTTAAGAAGTATTGGCTTATATTTATTTGCATAGTTTATAGCTTTAAGCAGAGGAAAGCCTGAAGAAAAAAATGCGATTAGGCCGTCTACTCGAGGCCAGTCCTCTATAGGAGACTCTAATATAACCTGCATATACACCCCACATATACACCCCACACCAAACATAACAGCAAATGAGAAGCAGAAAAAATTATGAAAACGAGACAAATATATACACCCCAACAGCAACAGCAACAGCAGCAGCAGCAGCTGCTGCTGCTGCTGCAGCACGGGACACAAACACAAAACGAATAACCATCAGAGGAGACAAAGACAAACATAAACGCAAGGAGACACTTGAACGAGCTAAGACAGCATCATGCATGCATATAAAAACCATACAGCAGCAGCAGCAGCAGCAGCAGCAGTTGGAGAAGCAGCAACAGTGAGACGAGGAGACAGAAGAAGGGCAGTAAAGATGCAGCATCACATGAAGAGACACCCCAAAGAAATACATGAGCTGCAGAGACACCTGGGCATAGAATGAAGGCCAAAGGAGACAGTTAGAGACACCCAGACGGCAGCAGACAGCACAGGAGACGCCTTAACAAGAGGAGACAGTTGAGTAAATACAAAGAGACGAACAAAGAGACAAACACAGACACAAGGCGACAGGCAAATTGAAGTGCATACGTAAAGACAGCAGCAGCAAACAACCTGAAGAGACACTTAGGAGACAACAGAAAGCAAAAGAAAGCAAGAGGAAACAAAAAGAAAGCAAGCCTAAGGAGACAGGAGGGGGGAGACAGGAGACAGCAGCAGAAGGAGAGGAGACACCCGAAGACAAAATAAACACAGAACAAAGACAGAAACAAAACAATAACGCACAAGAGACACAAGAACGACCCGCGGAGACACCACGAGAAGCGCGAAACAAAAAGGAGACAAAAGGAGACAGAGGGAGACACAAAGGGGACAAATGGAGACACAAAGGAGACAAAAGGAGACAAAAGAAGACATAGGGAGACACAATAGAAGAGAGAAACACAAAGGGAGGCACAGAGGAGAGACAAAGGAGACAAAAGGAGACAAAAAGAGACAAAGGGAGACAAAGGGAGATAAAAAGATACAAAAGGAGACAGGAGGGGACAAAAGGAGACAAATGAAAAAGAAGAGACACCGAGGAGACACAGAGGAGACACAAAGGAGACAAAAGGAGACACAAGGAGACAAAAGGAGACAAAAGGAGACAGCTGAAGCACTACCTTCTCATCGAAGACAAGAACAGCAAACTCTTCACAATTTTCTAGACGCTCCAGTATCTCTCTCATGGGTCGGCCTTTGAGGAGACAAACAAAGCATAAAAAGAGAGGGGTATTGCATGCACATGCTGTCTCTGTGCCTTCTAAACAAAACAAAGAAAGATTAATAATAATTTATGCTGTCTCCCTGTCTCCTATATATACACCAAGGAGACAAAAACACTGACTGCGACACTTCAGGTGTATATGCAAACAACCCTAAACCCTAAACCCTAAACCCTAATAAGCCCTCAACCACAAACCCTAAACCCCTAAAACTACAAACCCTAATTGAAACCCAAACCCTAAACCCCGCATTCCCTTCAGACTAATTTATATGCCTGCTTGTTTTTAGAGACAGCTGCAGCTTTTGTCTCCTCGGCTGTCTCTGACTCAAACTAAAAAGGAGACAGATAAATAAAGGAGACAGACAAATAAAGGAGACAGATAAATAAAGGAGACAGATAAATAAAGGAGACAGATAAATAAAGGAGACAGATAAATAAAGGAGACAGACAAATAAAGGAGACAGACAAATAAAGGAGACAGGAGACTCACTGTCGGTCTTCACGCGCATCGCACAAACGCCAATGACCATTCGAGGAGGGCCTGAGCGAGACGCTTTGCCTGCTGCTGCTGCTGCTGAAGAACTCGCGCTGCTGCTGCTGCTGCTGTTGCTGCTGCTGTTTGCTTCCTGATTGATGCTGCTTCTAACGCTTTCAAGAACAGCAGCAGCAGACGCCCAGCTGACACGGGGCTCCAGAGGCACCTGGGGAGCCCTCGCAGGCAGCTCTCTCCAGTTGCAGTGGCGCATGTGTTTGCTGCTGCTGCTGCAGCAGCAAACCAAACCGCAGCAGCAACAAATGCAACAAATGCAGCACCACCTGCTGCCCCAGACTCTCCACCACCGCCAACAAAATGCGAGTCCCTGCAGCAGCAGCAGCAGCAGCATCAGCGGCAGCAGCAACAGCAACAGCACCACCAGCAGCAAGAGCAGCAACAACCACAACAACAGCAGCAGAAGCAGCAACAGGAGCAGCAGCTTACCTGGAGTCTGAGAAGGGACATCTGTTGCAGCTGTACGCCTGTCTCTCCTCGCGTGCTGCGCTGCTGCTGCTGCTGCTGCTGCTATCTGGGGGTCGCATTGGAGACTGTGTTTCAGAGCTATCTCCTCTGGAGGCATCACCAGCGCCATTTTCTGCTGCTGCTGCTGCTTCAGTTGCTGCTGCTGCTGCTGCTGCTGCAGGTGGCGTCGCCTCCTTTCTGGGCCCCGTCTCTTCAGGGCCTCCTTTGCTGCTGCAGTCTGCGGTGTCTGTAGAGGGCCCCATGCTTGCGACAGGCCAAGCCCCAAGAGATTCCTCAGCCGCGGCAGCATCAAGAGCAGCAGCAGCTGCTGCTGCTGCTGCTGTTAGCGTTAATGCTCCTCCTTCTGCAAGCAGCGGGAAGGAAACTCGTTGCTAATCAAGCAGCAGCAGCAACAACAACAGCAACAGCGGAAGGAGCTGCAGCAGCGACGGCAGCACCAGCAACCGCCACGGCTCAGCAGCGAGCGCAGCAGCAGCAGCAGCAGCAGCAACAGTTGCAGCCTCGCAGCAACAGCACCAACAGCAACAGCAGTGAGGGCAGCGCCAAAGTGGGTCCGATGCTGCGCAGCGGAGCAATTGGAGAAAGGCAAACAAAGAAGAGCAGCACCAGCAGCAAGAGCAGCACCTGCAGCAGCAGCAGCAACCGGGCCCCACAGCCAAGAAGTTTGCTGCCTAGAGAGAGGGTCGCTGGCTGCTGCAGCGTTGAAGCAGTAACTGCTGAGCTTCTTTCGCGCTGCAATCACACATACACTCCGCGGTGGCAGCTGCTGCTGTTGCCGTTGCTGCTGCTGCTGCTGCTGCTGCAGCAATTGGAGTAGCAGAAGCAAATATGGCGGCAGCAATCTGCAGCAAAGGTGTGCCTCATGCGTCTGTGCATGCGTTGTTATAACTGAAGATATTAAGTATTGATGCTCCCTGTGTAGAGTGCAGCAGCAGCAGAGCAGCAGCAGCAGCAGCAGCAGCAGCAGACGCATGCAGCGCCGGTTGGCCCATTGGTTCTCGCGACCGCTGCAGCAGACAGATTCTCCTCTCTCTGTTCCTTTGTTCATTGAAGCTTTTGTTTATTTCTTTTCTTTTGTTGTCTCCCGGTGAATACTGCAGAAGTGCCTGAAGTCGTGCGTTTACGCAGCAGCAGCAGCAGCAGCGCAGCAGCAGCAGCAGCAGCAACAGCAGCAGCAGCAGCACATGCGGCACATGCAGGATCGTTCAGAAGCAAAAGACATGAGGCTTCGGTGGGTTGCTGCTGCAAACACGGCGAGTAGGCCTCCTGGGGCAGGGCTAGCCTGCGCTTAGCGCAGCAGCAGCAGCAGCAGCAGCAGCAGCAGGAGAAGCAGCAGCAGCATCGAGAAGAAGATGGGGAACACTGTGTCTGCAGGGCTAAGCCCTGTGCTGCCTTCTGTTGATTTAATGCGGGGACCGTCTCCAGGCCCCACACAGCCGCTAACTGAGGAGCAGCGGCAGTTGCTGTTGGATTACCCTTTTTTGCATGCATTGGGGTGTATAGGCACCTCGCGCATCAGCAGCAGCCTCCTCTGCGTCTCCATAAGCGACGGCCTCACCTTCTGCAAACTCTTCTGCAGCAAAAATGCTGCAGCTCCTCAGGGCGTTTTGCTGAATTTGTCGCAATATCAGCCTCAGCTGCTGCTGCACAAAGCGCTGCTAACCTTTGATATCTTTCCTAACGTGTTAGCCGCTCACTTACCTTCTCTTCTTTCTTCTGTCTCCTCCCCCTGTCTCCTTTTGTCTGTCTCTTTTGCTTCTGTCTCCTTTATCTTTTCTCTTTCTTTCTGTCTCTCTGCTGCTTCGCTGCTGTCTTCTGTCTCCTCTCCTTTGTCTTGTTGTCTCTTCTCCGTTGTCTCCTTTCTGCTGTCTCCTTTCGCCTGTCTCCTTTCTTCTGTCTTGTGCCTCCTTTCTTCTGTCTCCTCTCTTCTGTCTCCTCTCGTCCGTCTCCTGTCCCTTGTCTCTCTATCTGTTTCCTTCTCTCTCTGTCTCTTTATCTCTCTGTCTCTTTATCTCTCTGTCTCTTTATCTCTCTGTCCCTTCATCTCTCTGTCTCCGTATCTCTCTGTCTCTTTATCTTTTTGTCTCTCTATCTCTCTGTCTCTTTATCTCTCTGTCTCTTTATCTTTTTGTCTGTCTATCTCTCTGTCTCTTTATCTCTCTGTCTCTTTATCTCTCTGTCTCTTTATCTTTATCTCTGTCTCTGTCTGTCTATCTCTGTCTCTTCATCTCTCTGTCTCTTCATCTCTCTGTCTCTTTACCTCATATAATGTCTCGATTCTGCATGCATATCATCACCTGTCTCTTTCTCTGTCTCCATCACCCTCTCTGTCTCCCTTTATCTTCGCTTCTATCTCTCTCTATATATATTAAATATATATATTAAATAGATATATATATATATATGTATTTGTTTGCGTTTGCTTTAGGTGTCCCTACGAGCGTTTATTACTAACAGAGAACTCATCTTTGTTGCTTCGTCGCTACTTTAAGGGGACAGTGTGGGGTCTGTTGCATGCATTGCCAGCCCCAAACAGAGTAATACTTTTGTTTTTTTGCTTTCAGTTATTGCTGTCTTTAGCGCAGCTGCATGCATTGGGGCTTTCGCATGGTGATGTTAAGACTGAAAACTTAGCTGTCTCCTCATCTCTACATCTCCTTCTTGTAGACTATGCACCGTGGAAAGCTGTCTCCCTCAGCTTAAGAGACATGCGTCTCTTCAGTCTCCTCTTCGAGGCCCCTCACAGATTCCGCTGCTATGTAGCACCCGAACGGTATATACTTTCACCCTAAACCCTAAACCCTAAACCCTAAAATACCCCTAAACCCTAAACCCTGAACCCTAAAATATCCCCTAAACCTTAAACCCTAAACCCTAAAATACCCGTAAACCCTAATGCACGAGAAACACTAAGTCCTCGGATGCCCGCGAACCCTCATACATTACACACCCTAAACCCTAGATCCTGAAGCTCAAAACCCTAAACCCTAAACCCTAACTAAACCCTCATACCCTGAGCAGTCAAACACTAAACCCATTTATTCTCTTTAGTTTCCCAGAGGAGACAGTTGAGGAGTGTCTCCTTTAATCATCGCTCTCTCACCGCAATTCTTTTGTGTTTCGTCTCCTTTTTGTCTCTGTCTGCTTGCTTGTCTCCTTTCTTTCTCTTGCCTGTCTCCTCTGTCTGTCTGTCTGTCTCCTCTCTGTCTGTCTGTCTGTTTGTCTCCTCTCTGTTTGTTTGTTTGTCTCCTCTCTGTCTGTCTGTCTGTCTCCTCTCTGTCTCTTTGTTTGTCTCCTCTCTGTGTTTCTGTTTTTCCTGTTGTCTTTTTGTCTCCTTTTTGGTCTTTGTTTGTTCTCTCCCTTGCGTCTCCTGTCAATACTAAATAATAATAATAATAATAATAATAATAACAGTAATAATAATAATAATAATAAATAATAATTATAATAATTATAATTATAATTATAATTATGTTATAATTTCTTGACTGCAGGTTTACAGACAAAGAGGAGACGCCGGGGCCTCTCACCGACTGTCTCCTTCTGCAGCAGTCATCAGAAATATTTTCTCTGCACTGTACGCTGGCGGAGATTCTTTTAAATGGTGCAGATGTTTTAGATTTGCTGAGTCTCCTTGCGCTTAGAAATTGGCTTGCTGCAGCAAAACAGCAGCAACAGCAGCAGCAACAGCAGCAGCAGCAGCAGCAGCAGCAACAGCAGGAACAAGCAGCGGAAGATGGGGCGGCCGCCGTTGCGGAGGAGAAAGCGAAAGCTGCTGCTACCAGCAGCAATAGCAGCAGCAGGAGCAACAGCAGCAACAGCAACAGCAGCAGCAGCAGCAGCAGCAATAGTGGTGGCAGCAGCACGTCGCGTCGCCAGCGGAGCTCCGCAGGAGCAGCAGCAGCAGCAGCAGCAACTGCTACATTGAGGGAAGAGATGTTTGCTTCTCTTCCGGGGCTTCCTGCTGCTCCGCTGTCTCCTCCACCTCCTGCTGCTCTGCTGCAGGCTTTGGAGGGTGTCTCCTGCAGCAAGGCGCGTTTGCTGCTGCTGCATGCGGGTTTGCTGCAGCAGCCTGAGAGTCGTCTGTCAGCGCAGCAGACGCTGCTGCTGTGGATACGCCACATCTTTCCTCCTTGTTTTATGAACTACTTCTTGTGTCTCTTCTCTGTGCTGCTGCACCCCGCATATCAGCAGCCAGATCTGCGACTGCTGCTGCTGAAGGAGCATCTACCTGATATCTTCCTTGCGCTTTTAGAGCAAAGGCCTCAGCTGCAGCAGCAGCAACAGCAGCAGCAGCAGGAACAGCAGCAGGACCAAGACGACCAGCAACAGGTGCAGGAACAGCAGCAGCGGCAGAAAGAAGAACAGCAGCAGCAACAGCAGCTGCAGCACGAAGACGAGCAGCAGCAGCAGCAGCAGCAACAGACAGAGGCGCACGAACAGCTGCTGCTGCAGTTGTTGAGAGAAGCTGTGGTGCGGGAGACACTGGAGATTGACGGCTGCACCGCACAGCAGGTAAGGGCTTTGAGGTGTACAGACAGCTTGTTAGGAGACAGTTGGAGACACCTCGTTGCTGCAGCAGCAAAAGCTAAGAACTGCAACCTGCTGCCCTTTTGTCTCCTTCTCTCAGACTGTCCTCAACATGGCTGTGAGTATGCCGCAAGAATGTGCTGCTGCTGCTGCGCTGCTGGATGCGTGGAGTACTGGCGGTGCTGCTGCAGCAGAAACAGCAGCAGCAGCAGCTGCTGCTGCAGCGGCGCCGCTAGCAGGGGGCCGGGACCTGCGTGCAGCAGCAGCAACAACAGCAGCAGCAGCAGCAGCTAACATCGGCCAGGCGACGACGGAGGAGCGCTTCCTTGCTGCAGAAGCAGCACAAGAAGCAGCAGCAGCAGCAGCACTCAACAGCAGTCTCCCTCACCCTAACTTAACTCCTTATAACGCCCGTCGCTTCGGCTGGGGCCTGATGGATATCTGGGCCCGCTGCTATGAAGCCACTGTCATCTGCAAACGAGTACGTCTTCAATAGCTACCTACCTAGCTAGCTGCCTAGCTAGTTCCCTAGCTAGTTCCCTAGCTAGCTGCCTAGCTAGCTGCCTAGCTAGCTGCCTAGCTAGCTGCCTGGCTAGCTCCCTAGCTAGCTCCCTAGCTAGCTAGATAGCAAACTAGCTTCCCAACTAGTTGTTTAGCCAGTTACCTGGCTAGCCACCCGGCTAGCTGCCTAGCTAGCTGCCCAGTCAGTTGCCCGGCTAGCTGCCTAGCTAGCTGCCCAGTCAGTTGCCTGGCTAGCTGCCTGGCTAGAAGGTTACCTGGATCCTCAGGTGGAGCCATTGCTGCGTGGCTAGCTGTGTAGCTAGCTGTGTAGCTAGCTTGTAGCGAGGTGTGTAGCTAGTTATAAAGCTAGCTGTTTAGCTTGTTGCGGGGCCCATACCTCTGCAGGTAGCTAGCTGGCTGCTGCTGGCTAGCTAGCGCTCTGCTTGATAGCTAGCTGCAGATAGCAAACCGCTAGCTGCCACAGGGCTAGGGAGACCCCTTGTGGGGTTGCTGCAGTGAGGTGTCTCCTCTGGTGTCTCCTTGTGGCTACTCTATGGGCTGCTGCTGCTGCGGAAGCCTTCGCCTCTCTACTTGCAGCAGCAGCAGCGGGGGCTCTCTGCAGCAGGGGCGTCTGTCTCTGTGCTGCAGCAGAAGCCTGTGTGGTTGCTGCTGCAGCAGAAGCCTGTGTATGTGCTGCTGCAGCAGAAGCCTGTGTATGTGCTGCTGCAGCAGAAGCCTATGTATGTGCTGCTGCAGCACAAGCCTGTGTATGTGCTGCTGCGCTGCTTTGCATGCAGCCGGCTGTGGCGGTCCTGGAGGAGATGGAGGGGAGGAAGCTGCGTCTTTATGACGACCTCTTCAGACAGCAAGGCCAGCATAACCCTTCTGCTGCTGCTGCTGCTACTGCTGCTGCTGTTGATGCTGAGGGACTGGGGGACGGCAAGAGCTGCAGCAGCAGCAGCAGCAGCGGCAGCAGCAGCAGGCCGTTGTATCCACCGTGGGAGAAGGTAGCGGAGCTTCTGGGCCCGCCTCAGCTGCCAGTGCATTTGTTTTGTTCTGCTGCTGCTGCTGCTGCTGCAGCAGCAGCCAGCAGGGACTTGGGTGTGCCGTTTGTAGTGGTTTCAGGCGTCCCTACAGAGGAGACAGCTAGCTGCACCGGGTGTCTCCGCAGCAGCAGCGCGATCATTGTCTCTGAAGTTGTGGGGTTAGCGCTGCAGCAGACAAGCAGCGCTCGCGTCCGCGCTGCTGGGGTGTCTCTGTTGGGGTTTCTTTCACGTGTTGCTGCAACAGATGTGCTGCTGCAGTCTCTGCTGCCGTTCCTTACTCATCATTTAGGAGACCCTTGCCCTACTGTGCGAGTTGCTGCCTTAAGGGGCCTTTCTGCTGCGCTGCTGCAGCTGCATGCGGCGCTGCAGCATGCAGCAGTCTGCCCTAAAGCAAACAGCCAGCAGCCCCTCTGTGGTTTATGCGGTACGGCCTGCAGCAGCAACAGTCAGGGCCCTGCTGCTGCTGCTGCAGCTGCTGGTGCTACAACAGCAGCAGCAGCAGCAGCAGCACCCAAGTCCGGGGGATCTCTTAGACGCGGTGGGAAGGGGACGCCGCCGATGCCCCAGACACAGCAGCAGCAGCAGCAGCAACAGCAGCAGCAGGGAGGGCCGCTGCTGCGGGGTGCTGCAGCAGAAGGGGCTTCGCATGCAGATGCAGCAGCTTTATTTTGCGGATATATACTGCCTGCAATCCACCGCCTTAGTGCTGCAGACCCAGATGCTGCTGTTCGTGTCGCTGTTGCTGAGCTGCTGCCGCTGATGCTGCTGGCAGTCAAGGCCTGCCTCCACGCTCAAGCCCTCTTAAACCTTCACAAAGAACAGCAGCAGCAGCAGCAGCAAATGCAGCAGCAGCAGCAGCAGCAAAAGCAGCAGCTGCAGCAGAACAAGCAGCAGCAGCAGCAGCAGCGGGAAACAGCATCTTCAGGACGCCCAGAGACGAACACTCCGCCTTCTGTGGCAGTCGATCACTCAAGCCCAGCAGCAGCGGCTGCGAGTATAAAAGCAAGCAGCAGCAGCAGCAGCAGCAGCAGCAGCGAGAATGCACCCGTAAAGAACCCCAACGTCCTGGTGTCTCCAGCACCGACAGAAGCAGGGGCTGTGATGCAGCAGCAAAGAAGTCTAGCTGAGGGCAGCACGCGGCCTGCTTCCCCTGCTGTTGCCCCTGCTGCTGCTGCAGCAGCAGGAGAAGCAGATCCTGCTGCTGCTGCTGCTGCTGCGGAAGAGGGCCTGTGCAGCAGCAGCAGCTGCTCAACTCCCACTGCCTCCTGGGCCCCTCGTCAGCGCGAGGCGACCAAAGAGGAAGTGTCTCTGTCTTCTGTATCTCATCCGCGTACATCAGCTGCTGCTGTAGCTGCTGCTGCCCCTGCTGCTCCAGCTGCTGCTGCTCCTGCTGCTTTAGGTGCTGCAGTAGGAGGCTCCGGTGGGGCTGCAACAGCTGGTCCCGGTGCTGCAGCAGGAGATGATTCAGCAGCAGCAGCAGGAACAGCAGCAGCAGCAGGAACAGCAGCAGCAGCAGGAACAGCAGCAGCAGCAGATGCTGCTGCTGCTGCTGCTTCGTATTATGGAATGTTATCAGAGAAATGTGAGCAGCAGCTAGAGACAGCCATTAGCAAACTGCAAGCAGCAGTGCTGCCGACGCTGCAGCAGCAGCTAACGAGGAGACCCGTAGAGCAGCGGCTGGCGTTGCTGCGGCCTTTGCCGCTGCTAGCAGCAGTACTGGGGCCGCACCAGACACATTCTTTGCTGCTGCCTTACCTCATCGTACAGCTGAATGATGCATGCTCGGGTGTACGTGCAGCTGTTGTTCGGTGTCTTGGGGGCTTGGGGGCTATGGCGCTGCAGCAAACAGCAGAAAGCTGTATAATTCCTTGCTGCGAGCAGTGTCTGCAAGATCCGCATGAAGAAGTTGTTGCTGCTGCTGCTGCTGCAGTCGCGCAGCTAGCAGCAGATGGTCTCCTTAATCCTTCTTCAAAGGCAACCGAGAGGCTGCTAACCCGTCGCGTAGTTCCGCTGCTGCTGCTGCCCTCGCTGCTGCTGCGTGCTGTCCTGCTGCAGCTGTTGTCTGCTGTAGAACGTAGCTGGGGCGCAGCAAAGACATACGCTGTGTTGCTGCCGCTGCTGCAGCCTGTGCTGCAGCGTCACTCCCGTTTGCTGCTGACTGGAGAGGTAGCAGCAGCGCTCCGTCCGCCCCTCTCCCCGCTGCTGCTGCAGCAGCTGCTGCAGCAGCAGCAGCAGCCAGGATCAACAAGGGCCCGCATGCTGTCTCTCCTCTTCTCTCCCCCTGTCTTAAAGGCTGCAGAGAGACAGCAAAGGAGACAGAGGCTCGGGCGCAGCAAACGGAGACACAGCAAAAATAAACAACTACCTCAAACCACCAGCAGCACAAGCAGCAGCAGCAGCAGCGGCAGCAGCACCAGCAGCAGCGGAAGCAGCGGCAGCAGTGATACCAGCTCCGGCAGCGATAGCAGTGATCAGGAAGGCCTCCGCCTGCTGCAGGAGGCTGATGCATGCAAAGAATCTGCAGCTGCAGCAGCAGCAGCAGCAGCACTGACATCCCCTAAGAAACTGCAGGGGTTGGGGCTTTGGAAGGAGCTGGTCAGGGAGGCGGAGAAGCATGCTGCTGCTGCTGCTGCTGCTGCTGCTGGGGCTGCACAGTATGCGGGATCTGTGCCTATGATACAGGCGGCCCGGCATGCAGCTAAGGATCAGCTGCTGCAGCAGCAGCAAGCGAAAGCAGCAGCAGCTGTTGATGAGCTTGTGGGGCTGCTGCAGAGTGTAGGCGCAGACAACCGCTATGCTTTGCTGCTGCTGCTTCCAACATTGCATGCGCGGCGTCAGGCGTCTGCAGCAGCAGCAAACGCTGCAGCAGCTGCTGCTGCTGGAGATGGACACGTGGGAGGCCTTGAATGTCCCCTTAGCTGTGCCGTTGCAATTGAGGGATCAGCTGAGGAGACACCTGAAGTGTCTCCGCTGCAGCAGGCTGTCTCTGTGTCTCCCCTATTACCCCGCTGCTGCACTGTGGGGCGGAGACAGAGTAAGCTGCTGCTGCGCTCTGCTGTGCTGCCCCTCCAGTCCCCGCCCTGCAGCTAGCCAACAGGCTGCCGGGCTAGCTAGCTAGCTAGTCAGGTAGCTAGCTAGCTGATGACGTAGCTAGGCAGAGAAAGAAGCAGTTGTGAGAACAGCCATGACTCTGTATCTCCCTTCGTTGCTGCTGTTGTTTGCTGCTGCTGCGTTTGCTGCTGCAGCGGGGGCGCTCCTGCGGTATATGCTGCCCCAGATATCTGCATCACGTCAGCTGCTGACTGCAACGCGGCTGTCTCCTGTCCCTCCTGTGTCTCCTCCTCTCATTCGAGTGTCTCTGTGGGGTCTCCTTGCGGAGACACTGCTGCCGCATGTGATGCAATTAGTGCTGCAGCAGCAGCTGCTGCTGCTGCATGGCTGTCTCTGGCCTGAAGACGCCTCCCCCGCTAAGCACAGAGGCGGCAGCAGCAGAAGCAGCAGCAAAAACAGTAGCAGCAGCAAAACCCGCAGCAGCACAAGCCTCAACAGCCCCCCAGTCGATTGCAGCAGCAGCAGCACAACTCCCGAGGCGCCGCCGCCGCCGCAGCAGCAGCAGCAGCAGCAGGTGCAGCAGTCTTTGGCGGATGCTCTTTGCTGCGTGTCTCCTCCTGCAGTCTCTCAAGCTGCAGCAAAGGCTGCACTGACGGCAGCAACTGCAGCAGCAACAGCAGCAGCAGGAGCTCTATCAAGACACCTGTGGATGTCTCCGCCTCAGCCGCTGCTGCTGCAGTCCCTTCTAGGCCTCTCTACACACCGCAAGGTAAGGGAAACAGAGTCTCCTAGGGAGGCAGCTTTTGCTGCTGCAGCTGCAGCAGCAGCCGCTGCTGCTGCTTCACCTGCTGCTGCGGCAGCTTGTGCTGCTGCTGCTGCTGTTGCTGCGTGTACGCCCAAACCGCAGCAGCAGCAGTCGCAGAACAGCTGTTCATTGTTGCTGTTGGAGTCCGCCTGCTTGCTTCCTCTCTGCTGTCTGTGTCTCCGCCACCCAGTGTCTCTTCACTGTCTCCTTTCTGTCTCCTCTCTGTCTCCTTTCTCTGCCTCTTCTTTCTGTCTCCTCCCTGTCTCCTTGTTCTCTGTCCCCTTGTTCTGTGTCTCTTCTGTCTGTCTCTTCTGTTTGTCTCTTCCGTCTGTCTCTTTTGTCTGTCTCGTCTGTCCGTCTCTTTACTGTCTCTGGGGCTTCGTTTGTTTGTATGCAGGACAACGCAGCTCAGTCTCTACAAACGAGCTGCGGCTCTGCTGTTGTCTCCCGGGGATATTTATCAGTGCTGCTTGCTGCAGCAGTTCCTGGTGCTGCTGCTGCTGCCTTGCATACACAGACTCCTACTCCTCCTGCTGTTTCTGCTGCACTGCAGCAGCTGCTGCAGCGTGCGGATGCGGGATCTGTACTAGGTCCTCGCAGCAGCAGCAGCAGCAGCAGCAGCAGCAGCGGGTGGAGTTTGGCTGCTGCAGCAGCGGCGACAGCAGCAGCAGCAGCAGCAGCAGCAGCATCAGAGCGAGCATCTCTATCGGGTGCTAGGCGTCTCCTTCTAGGAGCTGCAGCACCTCGACTGTCTCCTCTCCGCCGCAGCACTTCTGCTGCAAGTGTTCCTCCTCCGCTGCAGCGGGACTGGCGCTGCGTGCTGCTGGGGCTTCCAAGGAGACCTTCTTTAGAAGTAGGAAAGCTAGAGAAGCCCAATGAAAGCAGCTTAAGTCTTTATCCTTATCAGCAGCGCGTAGGAGAGGGGGTTGAGGGCTTTGCTGCTGCTGCAGAAAGGAGACTACATTCTCTTGCTAGGGGGCTAGCATCATGGGCACCCTCAGCGCCGCCTCCTGCGAAGTCGCAGGAGACAAACAGCAGCAGCAGCAACAGCAGCAGCAACAGCAGCAGCAGCAGCAGCATTAGTGGGTTGCCTGCCTCTTTGTCAGCGTCTCCTTCTCTATCAGGACATAGCCGCAGCGCTGCTGCTTGGGGTGTCTCCGCAGCTGTAGGAGGTGTCTCCGATCTGCAGCGGACGGGGGCCTCCAGAGACCCTCTTCGCAGTGGTGAGGAGACAGCAGCTTTTAGCTTAGGTTGGGGTCGTGGGGCCCCCGATCCAGCAGCAGCAGCAGGAGCAGCAGGAGCATCAGCAGCAGGAGCAGCAGCTGCAGGAGCAGCAGCAGCAGCAGCAGCAGCAGCAGTAGGAGGCCCCTGTGTTGCTGCTGCTGCAGGGTCTCTGCCAGATGTTTGCTGCTGGAGACCTAAGGGACAGTATGTTCGCAGTTGGACAGAGTATAGTGCTGCTACTCCTAGAGGAGGAGACAGCTTAAAGTTAGCAGCAACAGACGACGGAGCTGTTCTTGCTGCACTTCCTATGAGGATTAAGGGGGGGACAGTTAGAGCGTGGAGAGCTGCAGCAATTGCTGCATCTACAAGGCGTAAGCAGCATGAAGTATTCCTCGCTGTTTGGGCTGTCTCCGTCTTGCTTGCTGTCTCTGTCTTGCTGTCTCTGTCTCTGTCTTTGTCTTTGTCTCTTTCTGTCTTTGTCTTTGTCTTTGTTTATTGCCCTGTATTTTATGTGTCTCTGTCTTCGTTTATATCGCTGTCTCTGTCTTCCTCTGTCTCTGCCTCTGTCTTTGTCTGTCTCTTTCTTTGTCTCTGTCTTTGTCGTTGTCTTTGTATGTCTCTGCCTCTGTCTCTGTCTCTGTCATCCTCTGTCTCTGTCTTTGTCTGTCTCTGTCTCTGTCTTTGTCTCTGTCTCTGTCTCTGTCTCCGTTTCTATCGCTGTCTCTGTCTCTGTCTCTGTCTCAGCCATTTTCTTTCTTTGTTTTCGTCTTTTGCCTTTTGTCCTCCTCTGTATTTTTCTGCATATGTATATATATATATATATATATATATATATTCATATATATATATATTCATTTGCATATGCATGCA